TTTGTTTGTTTGTTTTTGGTACTAGGGATCAAACTCGGGACCTTGTGCTTGCAAGGAACCACTGAGCTAGATCCCGGGCCCTCCTCATGTTATCTTCTTATAAAGGTTATTGCATCAGCCAGATCATAATGATCAAGCTTACCCTGTTGTACTTCTCAATCAGTGACATAACTTCCAAGGAATTTCCCCTTCACTCATAAGATTTTTTTTAAAATGAAAAGTAATCTTTAAAAAAAAAAACAGAAAGAACCTGAAGTTTCTCTGATTATGGGAAAAAGAGTTGAGAAGTGCTACAATAAAAACTAGAAATGGAGATGCTTGACCTTATACTTTAGGTGATTTATCGTACAATCCCACCCTTGTCCCTCTAGTCTAGGACTTATTTCTCTTTCTTATTTGCTAAAGCACTGTCATTACAGCATAGCGTTGGTTCTGTGGTGACCTTGAGTGAAGCTCTCACGCTCATCCCAGCTTTCCCATCACTAGGACCTGTGTAGTTTTAGATAGTAAATGGGAGTGCAGAGAGGCTAATCTGGCTGAAAAGGGAGAGACACACTGGCAGCCCTTTCCTCCCAGACACCAAACAATCTTGACTTTGTCCTGGAGAGAAAAAACAAAACCTGTCCTTTTTTATTCAAGGACACTACACCTCCCAGCAGAGTAAGTAGCACCAGAGAAAGCAGACATCAGGACTTTCAAGGCCTAATTCGTGCACAAGAGCTGCTGACCCCCTGGGGCCAGCTCCCTGAGAGCCCTGGAATCCACCACCCCGGAAACCTCAGAATCACTCTTTTTCTTGAGAAGTCTTCTTGGTCTTCCCCTCCCCTCTGGGACCATCTGCAGGCCAATGTGCCTTCTGCCTTCTCCTCTCTCATGTGTAACCTCAGCCTTCCCTCTCCCAGAAAGCTGTTGCTCTGGGTCGTTCAAATGTGGTTTCCAGAGCCCAGCTCTGAACATTATCCCAGGCCCTTCACATTCAGTGTTGTGCAGTGGGACTGTGGAACTGCAGACAGCACAGACCAGGGTGCTCCTGGGCCAGCATCTCTAACCTAGCTAGGTGAGGGTGAACCTCTCAAGAGACCTCAATGCGCTTTGAGGACTTCTCCTTTAAAAGGGTTAATTCTCACTTCTGTGAGTGCTGTAGTTTGCACTTTAAATATGGCTCACCTCTGAACGTAACAACAGCACAAGACAGCAGCCTGTTACCTGTGAGTTTTAGGAGAGTTGTACTGGATTTACAATGGCCTACGTTCAGTCATCTGTGACCTCCTGAGAGGTAGACTTGTTCCTATTTTTTTAGCATGTCTCAGTCTCCAGATAACCCTATGAGAAACTCTGCCAGCCCTCCTCTTTTGAAATCCAAGTTTCTAGGATTCTGAAGGTATAAGTGATTGTCGGTGGATAAACTGTATTCTTGTTTCTGTAAACTTGTATTTGAGCCATGTTTTCAAGGCTAGGTTTACTGGCCAAATACAGCATAAACATTTACCCCTGGGGGACCAACTCAAGAAATCCTATTACTTCTCTTCCTGTTTTCCCTGTATGCTGTTTCATTTTTGCTCACCTATCTCCTGAAAGACTAAAGATAAAGGCTGCTTGAGTAGAGTCAAATAGTGAAGTTCATTAAAAAGACAGGGAAATAGAGTTCAGTATTAAGTAGGTTGTCGTTTTCCTAATTTTGCCAGGCAGCATCAATTACAGAAAGAAAACTAGAAATAAATCCCTCTGGATGGTGTATGCCTTTTTCAGACTCTGGACTCTGCTCTCCATAGGAGGAGGTTATATACATACAGTTGGACAGACATTTTTGAGTCATTTGAAGATTGGCATTGCCTCATGGTCAAGTACAGGCATTGCTTTTTCAGAGTCTGCATGCTGCCCTCTCCTGGCCTACATGTGCAGGAACATGACAGCACATCAAATGCATTGATTTTAAGCCCACACCTATGTGTGCTGTACCTGTGAACGCAGAGGAATGTATTGAAAATATCCCAGCCATCTCAGCAAGAGTATGTAATTGAAGCTGATTTGAGGAAGTCAATCCATTATTCCTTCGACTCCAGGATACACGAATACTCATCCATCATTATACTATCCACTTCAGACCTTTGTTCTCTAACCCTGTCATTCTTTATTTGCATAACTCCCACGTGGTTCTGAGAATCAACTCCAACTGCAAATCAGTGCTCCACCAAGGGCTAGGCCCTGACAATGTGCTGGCCAAGCAAAGATATCTTCCCTTTTAGAAGTGGTGGTAACAGGGATTATGCTGAAATTGTGCATTAGTGTTGAGATGAAGAGCCTGAAGACTTTACCTGATCAAAATTAATTCTACACACTATTGGGTCAGTGTGTCTCAGTCACAAAGACAAGGGAGCTGTGTGGTAGAAAGAGAAGCAAGAGAAACAACTAATCGAAGAAGTAGATGATACCACAGGTCTAATTTACAATTGCGCATCATTCCTCCTGAACAATTTGTCTCATGTTAGTTCTTTTGAAATGCATCTTAAGCTCAAAACTGGGTACATTTGTTTTGAAGCAAAGCATTTATTGGTACGTTTTAGATATACATCATTATAACACTCATCATAGGGAATCTGCACCTGTACATGATAGATCCTGCCTCTTCTTTTTTCCCAGACCCCCCCCATAAGAAAAAAAATGTGAAAATAGAAGGAAAAACATGGATCCAAAGCTTTTCTATACAGGGAAGGGAGGGGAGTGAGCACATGTTTCCTGGTTGAAATAATTCATGATCATGCTCCTAAATACTTAAAGGGTCCTAATACTGAGCCCACATCTCCAACCTGGCTCAACTGCACTACTACAAGTGTGGCTGGCCTAATCTGCTGTACACCTTCCCTTTTGCAATCTCTCAGTGTCTGCCCTTGACCCAGGAAGGCCAGTCCTCTCCATATCAACAACTCAGGGCCCAGACTCAGGCTCCTACCATTCCCGTGCACCGGAAGAGCATTACAGAAGAGTTATTTACCTTAAGGAGACTTAAGGGCATGTACCTTGTTTAGTCTTTGCCAAACTTGTAGCCCTAAAGCTCTGGTTGACTATACTAAGGTTTGTAACAAATGAACCTACTTCTCTCAATGAAGAATAATTCCACAAAACAGTGAATAATTATTGTTTATATTTACCCTTGAAAAGCCCTCTGTGTCTCAGTCTATACAAAGTGAATTTATTCAGCCCAGTCAATACCAACACGCCCAACATTGCTTCAGAGTTTGGATGGTAAGAGAGAAATTGGTTCCAATTTGCTTCAGATATTTATAGAAGATTGGCAACCCTCGTAATAATGCAAAACTACTCTTGTCACTAGTAATAAAACTTAGTAGGGTCAAGTGATTTATATTTATTTGAATCGATAAATGTGTTATAAGCAGTTTCCTTTTTGCTGTAAAGAAAAATATTCATTTATAAAATTAAAATGCTCTCTCCGAAATATAATATTGTACTCGCCATTTTTCTTCTTTGACACAATTTTTAAAAATACTTTGCTAAATAATTCACACCTGTGAATGGGCAAACCATGATGTTTTCATGATTCCAGGGCCATATAGCTAGCTTTTACCTGTTTCTTTTATCTTTTCTTTTCTTTCTTTTTTTTTTTTTTTGGCATTTCCCTTAATGACAAAGGAACATGTTAATCTGACAAAAAAAGAAAAAGAAAAAGCCAACATAAATCCTCCATTGTGGTACCTTATCTGCCTTGGCCAGACACAAAATTGCTCTGAAAACCCAGTACTGTAGAATGGCAAGAGGAGTGTGAATTAGGAAGGGCATGGGTTTGATCCACTGAGAACAGTGTCATTTAGACTGAGGACAACAAACTTGACTCTCCTGCACCTGCTGCAGTGAATGGGTCTTGTTGAACTAGGATCCCAACACGTAGTCTCCACTGCAGAAAAAGCACCGTTTATAGGGATTCAGAGCAATTGACTACTGGGACATGGGGATTGCCCAGAGCAAGAACAATCTTTTAACTGAGCTTTATTCAGTCCCCTCTGGCTTTTCCAGGGCAAGATCAAACTCATTAAGCAATATTAATTTAATCACAAATAATTATCAGGGGAGAAACATTACATAACTGTTTTCAAAATTGTGAATCCAACATGGTGAAATCCCATGGAAAACAAATTTGCTCTTCTTTTTAAGTTTTTTAACAAAATCTTCACCTCAAAATATAAAAGAAATAAGAAACAGGCAGAACATTACCAGCTTAATAAAATCACCCTAAAAAATGATATCCCCTTACAGGTATCAAATTTACTAGACAGCTAGCTCTCCAATTCCTAACTTTTTAATGGACTATTCTATGAGAGCTGGAAACTCACCCTGTTTGGAAATGAACAACTAAAATGCATTTTTAACTCATAAATAAGGTGAAAAAATAAAGTACACAGGAAAAATCACCAACAGTCACATTTAAATTCATTTAGCTCCTTATCTCTTGTTCACCTCCAACCCCAGCGAATCGAACCAGTGATATTAACCCACGTTGTCCCTTACTCCTTAAAAATCAAAACCATGTCCAAGTCGGCTGTAGCTGCATTCCTAAAGGAAGGTTATTGCTCTGTTAGGTAGGTGGGAAATGTTTAAAGACTGCTTTCTAATAATTAGACCGTGTGGGATTTGCTCTAGGTCCTCACTAGTAATGGAAGTCAGCCGGAGGTGTTTCTGGGTCGCCTGACAACAAACAGGTATTGAGAGTATTTGAAAGAAAGAGAATACAGTCCAGTTTAAAGGTCCTTGCTTCCACTCCGCTCATCCCATAGGGGTGTAAACCTGGTGGCCCGGAACACACGCCGGCAGGTATAATTACCCGGGAGGCTCGGGGGAGACCTTCACTCTCGCTTTCTACGGGACGGATCAGCCGGGAACAAAGTCAACGCATCCCACCCGCCCCGTACGGTCAGGACTCAGAGACCCTGTGTCTGTCTCTGTCTGTCTGTCTGCCTGTGGCGGATTAGTCGTGACAAGCCTGGTACCTGCAATGACGGGATGGAGCCTCCTCCTCGGGTCCCTGGTCTCTCCCTCGCCTTGGGGTGATATAGTCCACAGCGGGGTCCCAGCCTGGTCTCCCGCGGCCGCGCTCCGAGGCACCGCAGACGGAGCCCAGCAGACGCCCATAGGAGAAGCGCGGGGCGCGGG